CATTCTGGTGGCGTGCAGGAACATGAAGCAAGGCTTCTGGTGCTTATCAGAATTGTAATTGAGCTACACAATAAATTCGTGGTCTATGTCACTGAGTGTTTTCAGAACCATATCCTCTTTCATAAGGTTTGAGTGTGTTCAACTTTATATCTTCTTCCACATTTGTTTTTTATGACCTTAATTTCTTTGAATGCATTGTGTAGGCATTGCAAGAGGCTTTTGAAATATTCTGTAACAAAAAATTGGCTGGAAGTTCCAGTGCAGAATTACTTGCAACGTTGTGCGATAATCTTCTCAAGAAGGGAGGAAATGAGAAGCTGAGTGATGAAGCTATTGAAGCTACGCTTGAGAATGTAGTTAAGTTCCTTGTTTATTCAAGTGAAAGAGATCTTTTTGCCGAGTTTTATAGGTATATATCTCTGCCCCTAATATTTGTTTTCCTCTTAATTTTATTGCTTGCACTAATATTTTGTTGAGATGGCAGTATTGGAATGGCTTAAGTAACACGGTCTATGCTTTTGTAAATATGCTTGTTTTGCAGGAAGAAGCAAGCCCGTAGGCTCTTATTTGATCGATGTGCTAATGACGAACATGAAAGAAGTATAGTTACAAAGCTCAAAGAACAATTCGGCTCAGTTTTTACTTCCAAGATGGAGGGCATGGTTAGTTAGATGAATTATTTTCTTGCGTAATAAAAGCTTTTGTTGAGAGGGAAATAAGTATGCTTTAATATTTTGTACATTTACTCTGTTTTATATAGGTGACTGATATGTCATTGGCAAGAGAAAGTCAGAGCAGCTTCGAGGAGTATCTAACTTCTAACATGACCGCAAACCCGGGGATTGATTTGACCGTCACTGTTCTTACCTCTGGTTTCTGGCCAAGTTACAGAACATGTGACCTCAAGCTACCCAGTGAAATGGTAACTCTTTATTTTCTCATGTCCAGGTGATATAGTATCTAAACTTAGTTGATTTTCTTTATGTTTCAGGCCAAGTGTGTTGAAGTTTTCAAGGCATTTTATGAAATGAAAACCAAACAGCGGAGACTTCAATGGATTTATTCTCTGGGAACTTGTCACATTATTGGAAAATTCGATCAAAAACCAATCAAATTAATTGTCTCTATCTACCAGGTATCATTTTGTTTTTGGTTTGTCTTCTCCTGGCTTATATTTCTAATTTTTATTGATAACATTACATATTTCCATTGTTGTGCCCATTTAATTTATTTTTGTTCCAGGCTGCTGTGCTTTTGCTTTTCAACAACACCGAAAGATTAAGCTACGATGAGATGTTGGAACAACTTAACCTTAGCCATGAAGATCTTGCGAGGCTGCTTCATTCACTGTCATGCGCAAAGTACAAGATTCTTAACAAGGAACCAATGTCAAAAAGCATCTCACGAACCGATGTTTTCGAGTTCAACTCCAAGTTCACCGATAGAATGCGGAGAATTAAGGTAATTAAATATATGAGTAAGAGCACCATTGTGTTATTTTCATCTCTGCCGGATTGTAAACAAAGACTAATGATGATATGTGTTCATCTTGTGTTGGTGTGGAATTTGTAAAACAGATCCCACTTCCTCCAATGGATGAGAGGAAGAAAGTAGTTGAGGATGTTGATAGAGATCGACGCTATGCGATTGATGCATCTCTAGTGCGGATCATGAAGAGCAGAAAAGTGTTGGATTATCAACAGTTAGTCTCTGAGTGTGTTGAGCATCTCAGCCGAATGTTCAAGGTAAATATATATATATACAAAACTCGATGGACACAAGCATTACAAGAAACATCAAGATTAAGAAGGGAATTTCATGTTTTGTTTTCTTTTTGCAGCCTGATATTAAGATGATAAAGAAACGGATTGAGGATTTGATCAGCAGAGATTATTTGGAGAGGGACAGCAAATATCCTAACATTTTAAAGTACTTGGCTTAGTCGATAATAAAACCAATGTTGCAAGTCTGATCTTAATAATGTTGTAATGAGTGAATATAATATTTGTTGTTAAATTTTCTATGGTTTTTGCCAGTGTTTAACTCAGACAAACATTTGTTGTTTTTCTAAATTTTATGTTTAAAGAAGACTAATCACTCTTCTAATATGATAATCCAAACTAGCAAAATATTTAATTGAAAACCAAACTGAAATATACTTCACTTTTCTTGATTTCATTTCTAACCAAACCAATACCAATTTTTCCCCGATTTCAGTTGATACAGTTTTATTTTAAAATTAAGCGTATTTTTTTACTTAAGGGTTGATTGGTTCACCCGCTACCACCCGTAAACGCTGCGTTTGCCGAGTTTTACAGGTATATATATGCCCCATATTTGTTTTCCTCATAATTTCATTGCTTGCACTAATATTTTGTTGAGATGGCTTAAGTCGGAGTTACACGCTCTATGCTTTTGAAATATGCCTGTTTTGCAGGAAGAAGCAAGCCCGTAGGCTCTTATTTGATCGATGTGGTAATGATGATCATGAAAGAAGTATACTTACAAAACTAGTTTTTAAATTATTTTGGAAAAACTTTCTATTTTCCCACGACAACTTTGATATACACATGTATCTCCACGAAACTTTGACCTCCGCACAGATGTCCACCAATTGAAAGTTCCATGTCTATTTCCCCACCAATACGAAGTTAAATGTGAAGATCTCCACTCGATAAAACTTTCATCGGTTCGGTGTCACCCGATTACAAACCAAGAAAACCGTGATTTAACCGAATATGTAAACCCGTTATAACCCGACCCGTAACCCAACCCTACTCAACGGTAATAAATCCCCAATTAGAGTTTTAATAGAACCCTAACACCCAAAAATCGAAATTTTGTCAAATCGACCCAAAAATCGAGTGATAGGATG